TTACTCTAGGCTAACACTCTTCCCCCTGTTCCATCTTAAAGGGGGCTAGAATTCAGATAGTTTTTTTTTTTTTTTGGTGTGTTGGTGTCTTTATTGTAAGTTCACCACCCAGAGGTAACCTTGGCAGATCCATATAGGTTGGTCCTTCCTTCCTCCCTCCTTCTTTTCCTGCCTCCCTGCCCCTTCCCTCCCTCTCTCGTACTTCCTGTTTTTCTTTTTCTTCTCCTTCCTTTCTTCCTTCTTTCATTTCTTCCTCCTCCTCCCCTTCCCTCATTCCCACCATGCCTTTCTTCCTGCATTGTAGACAGAGGAGAGGTGATGGCAACAGAGGCATGATTGGGAGAGGAGGCTAACGTGTGTGGACTTTACTGTAGGGGTGATGGGAGGTCAGGGAAGGGGAAGGACAGGGAAGCATGTCCATTTTTGAATGATTATGGTTAGGATTACAGATTAGAGGGGTTATGAAAGGAGTTAGGAGTCTAAGGTAGTGACCCAGGTGAGACATGATGGAGTCTGAATGAGGAAAGTGGCAGTGGGGATGGGAGAAGAGAGAGATTCAAGACATTTTAAAAAGTTGATCAATAGGATTTGGCATCCAATCAGAATGGGGCTTGGGAAGGAAGGTGACCAGGTCAGTTTGATGTCTAAGTTACCCCATTTCACTGACCAAAAAGTCCTGCTCATGCCCTTGTCTCTGCCCTCAGGAATCTTCCACTTGATTCAGATCCAGAAAGTCAGGAAGCAAGACTTCCAGAAAGAGGCACAGAACTTCCGGCTGCTTACCAGCACCCACGAAGGTGGGCCCTGAGCTGAGGAATGGGTCCTGGGGACCAGCAAGGAGAGAGGCTGCAGCCTCTCTGTAGTTCCCAAGCTGCTGGTGCCGGGAGGAGGGCCATGGGGGGGGGGGGGGCTGTCAGCCACAGACGTCAGTTCCCGGCACAGGAATCCAGTGGGCGTCTGGGCCAGAGATTTCCCAACTCAGTGAGTGGGAAGGTGAAACAGAGCTGGCTGGATTTGGACTTAGGGGCAGTAGGAAGACAGGGCTGCACAGGGATATGTCTGAGCCCTTCAAACCCAGGTGCTGCCTACTCCCCTCTATGAGAACATTTCCCATGGGCTGGGAGGGTAGGATTCCTGAGCCCCTTATAGCCACTTTCATTCTGATGCCCTTCATTTGCTCACTTAGAAAGATGGACCCAGGTGGGGCTACAGATGGGCGAGGGGACAACAAGAGTCAGGAAACCAGCCCAGCCCACAGAAGTAGGATATTTGAAGCCTGGGTCATATGTCAGAACTGTATGATGGGGACACCCACCTTCATCCTCTCTGTGGGCTATAAACCCTGGCCCACTCAGTTCCTCCATGCCCTAAGCTTGCCCACCCCCAGCCACTCTGTCTCTGTTGCATACATTCACACACAGAACTCTTCTGCCTTCTTCCACGCAGGTCACTGGAACGTCTTCCTAGCCCAGACCCCAGAGCTGAAGGTTACGGCCAGTCCAGACAAAGTGACCAAGACCTTATAACAAAGACCTAAATAGCTGCATATATGAACTTATCATTTTTTGTTATTATATATATTAATAAATAAGAAGTTGCATTACTTCTCAACTCAGCCAGCTGTGTTCATAGCCAGATACCCATGTGTTCTCTCAATGACTCCATAAGGCAGGCCTGATTATCCCTATCTTGCAGGGGTGGAATTAGATCTGGAAGGGGCAGAGGCTGGTCCCAGTGATAGCTTGAGCCAGGGCTAGTTCCTCTGGCCTTCCAGCCAGGCCTTCATCCACCATTGTGTCCTTGCACCCTGCTTTCACAGCCTCTGTTCACAGACCCCCAACTAGGGTACTTCCTTTTATGGGCCGCCCTCTTCCCTAGCTCTTTGGCACTGAGCCTAGGAAGGGAGGCTAACTCTAGTTAGCTAGGAAAGGGGATGAATGGAGCCTCAAAGCATTTTCCCAACCAATATTCCAGGGATCCTCACTTTATAATAAAGAAACTGAGTTTAGGGAAGAGTGGTATTTTCCAGAAGCCATAGAGCTGGTAGCAGATTTGGAGTTGGAAGCCAGGTCTCTTACTCTAGGCTAACACTCTTCCCCCTGTTCCATACTCTGACCAATGTTATTAAGTGCAAATGCTCATGCCCCACAAGATTTCCAAGACTTTGCAGCCTGGTTTCCAACTCCAATGATCTAGAAAGAAGGCCTAACAATGACAATTAAAGACACCATCAATAGTTTATCCTTCCCATAGGTACAATTCCTTGAAATTTTAAAGATGTTTTAACACACATGGTTTTACTCCTCACCATAGATGAAGAGTGTGTAGGAATTATCCACATTTTAGAGAGGAGGAAACAGAAGCTTGAGAAGAAGTGTGAGAGAGAGGGAGGGTAGGGACAGGGAGGCACTCATGATGATGAGTGATGAAGCCAGGACTAGAACCCAGGCCTGCTGACTCCCAGGTCACTGCTCCCCAGTACAGCTGGTCTAATCTTCTCACATCGTAATGCTTCCTGCTCCCTAATCCTGACTGGAAACCCCAGAGAGTAGTGGAGAATGGCCCATTGGCTGGAGTTCTGCCAATTGCCACTTTGAAGGCACTGGATATTATCTCTCCAGCCTTGGTCTTATCCCTGGGATTTCTGAGGTCTAGGAGTCTGCTAAACATCCCACCTACTTCCACCTACTCATTGAGCAGTTACAGGTGTTACCTCTCCCACCAAATTCCCTCTGCCAACTCCCAGGAGCCTAGTTTGAGAGTCTGGGTTTTGAGGAACATGGCTGGAACCTTCCCTTGTTCCCTGAGTTGGAAGACATCAGCCTCTTCTCCTTACACCTCTACCTGTCCCTCATAGAGAAGACTCATCATTTCAGCCTTGCCTATTCACCCCATGGGGTTAACTTGAGGCTCAGCGGATAGTTCTGAGTGGGCTTTTAAAGTATGGGGATCTGAAAGCCCAGCCATCCACATGGTGAACCCCAGTCATTCTGCAACCTAGCTCAGTTGTCTTCTCCTCAGTGAAGCCTTCCCTGATACCTCACCTTATCTCTTCTTCCTGCATGATGGCCCTTCCTCTTACTGGAGAATAGGTTTGGAGGCAAAAATCTGTAATCAGAAACAGCTCCAAGGTCTCATGACAGAAATGGACTTCCCTGATGTTGGACTTTTCCTGATGTTGTAGGCCAAACTGCCTTCTTGGGTTCTCTGATGGGTTTACTTGAAATCTATGATGTTTACCCAAAACCTTTTTCACCATGAGAGGCATGTTCAGCACATCAACACGTCTTCAATTTGGTCCAGAACTTTCTGATTGTCATTAACACAAGATTTGCCTTGTGAATTTTTAAAATCTACCATAGTTTTGCACTGTTCTAATTGTCCATTTCCTCTCATATATTCATTGATAAACCATCTTCTGAGCTAGTCTGGGGTAGGTCTTATGCTAGACCTTGACAAAGTGAAAGGAACTGATATTGCCCTACCTGGGCCTAGGGAGCCCAAAGTCTTGAGGAAGAGACAGAGGCATCTCATGTGACAACAATGGGTGCTAAGGGCTGGGATAGCAGGACCAGAGGTAGCACAGCCCCCTAATTTAGGCTGAGGACACTTACACTGGCTCTAAAGTTTAAATTGTTGTTGTTATGTGCCATCGAGTCAGACCCAACTCAAAGGTTAAGTAGGAGTTAGAAAAAAGGTAAATGGAGAGGAAGGAGTTGGTGATGGTATAGGAAAACTGCATGAAAGATTTAAAAAATAATGAGAATGACAAACAGCTCACTGTTGCTGGATCATAAAGTTTGAGGCAAACACCAAAAGAAGGCAAGGCTGAATAATCAGATGAGAAGCTTTTGTTTAATTCTGAGCCCAATAGGGAGACCTGGGAGCATTTAAAATTCTTTGGTAAGATTTGTGTTTTCCAAAATTGTCTGAGTGAAGAATGGTCTGGCAGAGAGAGGCTGAGACCAGGTAGAAGGTATTATGGGAATCTACATGACAGATAACAATGGCCTGGGTAGGAGAGAGGCAATGGGGATGGATACGGGAAGGTGGAGTTGATGAGTGACTTGATGCAGTCTTTAGGGAGAAGGAAGATTCTAGTGTATACTTGGTGTCTCATTTGACTGGGTAGAGAACCCAGGAGAAGTTTCAACTGAACATACATTGAGTCAGAAATGCCTGGGAAACATCTGAAGGAAATGTCTAAAGCCCTTTGCATATATTATGGGTCTGGAGAGAAGCTAGGGCTAGATATGAGGATTTGGGAGCTGCTGGCCTGTGGGTGGTAACTAAAGCTAGGAGAGGGGAGAACACTGACTTGGGAGAGATTCTAGAGTGAAAAGATAACAGGACAGAACCTTGGAACAGCACAGGAGGAAGTTGAAAAGCAAGGAGATCATGGTGGCTGAGAGGTCCAATAAGATGAGGCCTGAAAAAGGTCCTCCATGGGGACAAGGAGGCTTCTGGGTATCATGGCAACAAGCAATGTTAGAGGAGCTGAAAGGCAGAAGCCGGCACTAAGGCAGTGTTTTGGTTACCTAGTCCCACTCTGACCGGAATATATTACAAATGGGATGGTTTGAACAAATAGGAGTTTATTCTCTTACAATTCTGGAGGCTTTAAGTCCACATTCAAAGTGCCAGGCTCAAGGGGCTAGGTGAAAGCCCCTCAACCTTGGGCTTCAGCTCTACCTCCTGCTCCCAGCCCACTGAAGCTGGAGGCTTTTCTTCCCTCAGACAGCTGCTGGCTGCTGAGGCTAACAAGCCCAAGGTTGACAAGTAAAAAGGCATAGTCCCAATATTACCAAACAATGTGGCAGGCCACTAATTCAAGTTCAGATGAAGTCCCACGATCAGCAGGGCATGGCAGGCTGTTGAACAATGACTTGGCTACATGCAGGGTTCAAGCGTGCCAAAAGGCTAGAGACCATTCCCAAGGCTTCTCCTTATATAAGGGAGGCAGACCACATCTCTAAGGCTACTCAGCTGCTCATAGTAGATTCCACCATGGAGTTGACTGCCAGTCTCATCATGGGGAATACTACATCCAGCTGCCCAACCACTAGACCAGACCTAGCCAAGTTGACACACAAACTGAACTACCACAGGCAATGTCTGGGAAGTAAGAAGACAAAGACAAGACTTCTAAGAAATTTGGTGGTAAATGAGAAAAGAGAGGCAGGGCTGTGGACATGGGATGGCAAAAGGGGATTTCTAAGATGGAAGAGACTTAAGTAAGTCCCAGTGATGAGGAGAAGACAGGGAAAAGTAGAAGAAACAGAAGTGAAGATGGAGAAATGCAAGATTTAGGGTCAAGTCAAAATCCATTCTTCCTTAGCCACTAACTTGCTATGTAACTCTGGCTGGTCTCCCCATGAGTGTGATGAGAGAGAGGGAAGGGGTAGTCTCCAAGAGTTCCCCAGATCTGCCCCTCGTGGTGTTCCTGCAAGGACTTTCCAAGGGATCTACTGTCCTGATTGGTGGCCAGGCTGGACATAGTCCTGGGCTCTGGATGAGGTGGTCGCATCCTTTCCTAGGTGTCTGGGCTTTAGTTTACAAAGCACATTCAAATCCATTGTCTCATCTTATCTCAGGACAACCCTGAGATTATTGGCTGTATTATAGAAGTGAGAAAGCTAAGGCTCCGAAAGAGGAAATGACCTAACTAAGATCACACACTAGTAAATGGAGTTGCTGGATTCCAACTGAGGTCTGTGATTCTATACCCTGTGGGTCCCAGAGCACTGGGATAGGGCAGGTGCAGCTGACCTGGTCTTCGAGCCTCTAATAACTTGATCTCCTCAGGTAGCTTCCTGGCCTTAAAACTTGGTCACCTATTATGGTGCCAGGCCTGGCCTACAGGTTTCCTGGGGAGGCTTCCTCCTTCTCCTCCAGTACTATAAAGCCTCCCTACCCTCCTTGAACCCTGGGCTCTGGGAAATGGTGGCATTTCCAAGAAACAGGATGTGGCCTGTGGTCAGGGAAGGCCTGGGGGTCCAATGGGCACAATGGCATCTCTCTCTAGGGCTGGCTCAGCCACCCTCTTTCCCTCACACTGGTCCCTGGAAGACACCCCCTGCCTTCTTTCTCCTCAATCAGGGTCAGTTCGTGGAAGACAACTGCTGTAGGAGGTTGGCTGAGGTTGGAAGGGAGGTGGGTGGTTATGGGTTTCTGTGTATAGGCGTTACCTCAGACTGTGTAAAATGAGAACTATAACCAAGATCTCTGAACTGGAATTCAAGGCTGTTTTAATGACCACATTGGATTTTTTCCTCAGTCCCACTTTGAATCCACTTGAATCCTGATCAAATTGGGATGGATCTGGGCTCCAGGAAAACTTGAATCAGGGACTCTGCTGCTCCTTGCATATCAGCTCCTTCTTTCCAAGAAATTCCTTCAATAGGCAGACAATACATCATGCACAGGCTTAGCATCCTAATAGATCCCAACCCCATAGGATAAAAAGGATCATTCCTTCCTTCAGTTTCAATAGACTGGGCCATAATGAGTGATGTATTGCCAGTCCTGGGTGGTCAGGGAATTAGGTACTAAAATCATAGGATTGGAGCAGGAGAAGAACAGTTCCCCAAAATAAGGGGGTAGG